AACAATCCTGTGTGTAGTATATTGATGTCCTGAACAATCCTGTGTGTCCTACATTGATGTCCTGAACAATCCTGTGTGTCCTACATTGATGTCCTGAACAATCCTGTGTGTCCTACATTGATGTTCTGAACAATCCTGTGTGTCCTACATTGATGTTCTGAACAATCCTATGTGTCCTACATTGATGTTCTGAACAATCCTGTGTGTCCTACATTGATGTTCTGAACAATCCTGTGTGTCCTACATTGATGTCTGAACAATCCTGTGTGTCTTACATTGATGTTCTCAACAATCCTGTGTGTCTTACATTGATGTTCTCAACAATCCTGTGTGTCCTACATTGATGTTCTCAACAATCCTGTGTGTCTTACATTGATGTTCTGAACAATCCTGTGTGTCCTACACTGATGTTCTCAACAATTCTATGTTTTCTACATTGTGGTGATTTTATGGTACCGGCCCTTACATCTTCCAACATAATAATGCTCCATGTCACAAAGCAAGGATTTTGAACACATGGTTTGAAGAGAATAACATCAGAACAATACAGTGGTCAGCACAGAGCCCCAACATCAACCTGATAGAGTATCTTTGGGATGAACTGGAACCCAGGATTAGGGCAAGGCCAAGATGGCCCTCCTCTGTAGTGGAGTTTACTTTATTAATACTTCAAAGGATGTGTGGAGCACAGTACCACCAGCTTTCTACCAGAAGTTAATAGACAGTCTTCCATGATGCATTGAAGCCATCATTAAGGCTAAAGGTGGGCCAACGCGCTATTAATTTCTTGTAATAAAGACAAGTTTTATTCGTAACTACCCATGTCCCATGAACTTTTGGGAGGATAGTGTACTTATATGCTACAAAAAATGATGACAAATAGTTTTCTCAGACACATATGAACAGTAACTAATAATATCACCTACAATTCCACCATTCTGATGAACATAATCAAAGCATTCCATTGCCAACAGGTGATCAATTCCAGGATCAAGACCAACTTCATTCACAATTGTGACACCAGCATCCACAGCCCTAAACAAAACAATGTAAAAACAGTTATACAGAAACAGATTGAGTCAAATAAAGCAGCTGTGACACCAGCATCCACAGCCCTAAAACAAAACAATGTAAAAACAGTTATACAGAAACTAATCAAGTCAAATAAAGCAGCTGTGACACCAGCATCCACAGCCCTAAACAAAACAATGTAAAAACAGTTATACAGAAACTAATCAAGTCAAATAAAGCAGCTGTGACACCAGCATCCACAGCCCTAAACAAAACAATGTAAAAACAGTTATACAGAAACTAATCAAGTCAAATAAAGCAGCTGTGACACCGCATCCACAGCCCTAAACAAAACAATGTAAAAACAGTTATACAGAAACTAATCAAGTCAAATAAAGCAGCTGTGACACCGCATCCACAGCCCTAAACAAAACAATGTA